GGCAACTTGCTGATGTACTGCAGGATGTCCTCCTTGTTCTGATGGGTGTTGAGCAGGAACTCTGTCCGTGGGGAGCTGCTGTATTGGACCAGCCCGATGCGGACATGCTCAGGCCCGATGTCGAAGCTGTTGACCAGCGTGTAGAGAAACTGACGGATCTGCTCGAAGTTCTCGTTACCGATGCTCCATGATCCGTCCACCATGAAGACGATGTCAGCAACAGCCTCTTGAGTGCAGACTAAGGGGGGAGGTGATCAAGTCATGGGGAGGCCTCGCAGATAAGAAGTCACAGGCTGCCACAGGGGCTTCCACCAAGGCTTGAAAGCGTGTCAGTCAGTGTTGATAGCGTGACAGAAGTGGTGGTTTGCTTGAGCGTTGTGAAACAAATGAGCAGCTTGTTGTGGTTGTGAAGAGTTTCTGCATAGGAGCAGGAATCGGTCCTGAAAGCACTTACCTTCAGGTGGATGCAAAAGTGTGATGTGAGCAGGACAAAGTGGTGTTGCAAACATGAAGTGTTCATTCATTTCAGAGTGATCTGAAGCAGCAAACAAAAGGTGGAAGGAACTGTGATCCAATCGCACCTTTCCTTCGATTCCTCTTTCTCACTGTGCGGTGTTTGAAATCTGTTCAAGGCCTTTGACCGTAAACATTTCAGACCTTACATGATTGCGCCCTGCTGCATAAAGATCACTTTCTCAAAATGTTGTCCAAATGATTCATATCAATTCTGGCACCAACTCAAAGCAAATGCATTTTACATACTATCTTTGATCTGGTATTTGTTTCACCAGAGATCGCAAGATACTCCTCCACGCTTCTTAATTGCACATTGCCAAATAGGGCACCGACAGACTCTAGACTCGCCACTGGTGTTTTAAAACAATCTCAGATTTTTTAAACACAATCTGACAGAGAGGATAGAAAAGTGCCGAAACTTTTTTAACCAAATTTACTTCAAACGAGAAATAAGAAGGCGTTGTTGCTGATTCAGATTCTTATGTGGGCAGATAACGATGTTTCTCACGTCCTCAAGTTATATTTACAGCACATGTCTCACAAACAGACAGAGAGGAGACCATGATGTCTGCCAGCCGACGCCCACTCCTATAGACGGCTAATTCTTCTTAATTTTTCTCCACTGTCTTTCATTGAAAAACTTTTTTTGGGGTTATAACAGCAATAGAGTGAATGGTGTCAATCTTTTCATGCAGCGGGGCGCTGGAGGTCAAAGCAGTTCAAAGAATGATTTTTTGTGATTTTGTGGTTGAATTAATTTGTGTACGTGCTCGACAGCAAACACATTCCTGCGTGGGTTAGTAACGGTGCTCCGTACGTGTTCACAATGAAATGACCTTAAAATACTTACCACGCACTTCATTCACATGTGGTCATTAGATGTGTGTGTACAGTGTGTGTGTGTGTGTGTGTGTGTGTGTTGTGTGTGTGTGTGTGTGTGTGTAGTGTGTGTGTGTTGTTGGTGTGTTGTTGGTGTGTTGTGTGTGTGTGTGTGTGTGTAGTGTGTGTTGTGTGTTGTTGGTGTGTTGTGTGTGTGTGTGTGTGTGTGTGTAGTGTGTGTGTGTTTGTTGGTGTGTTGTGTGTGTGTTGTGTGTGTGTGTGTGTGTAGTGTGTGTGTGTGTGTGTGTGTGTGTGTGTGTGTGTGTGTGTGTGTGTGTGTGTGTGTGTGTGTGTGGTGTGTGTGTGTGTGTGTGTGTTGTTGGTGTGTTGTTGGTGTGTTGTGTGTGTGTGTGTAGTGTGTGTAGTGTGTGTGTGTGTGTGTAGTGTGTGTAGTGTGTGTGTGTTGTTGGTGTGTTGTTGGTGTGTTGTGTGTGTGTGTGTGTGTAGTGTGTGTAGTGTGTGTGTGTTGGTGTGTTGTGTGTGTGTTGTGTGTGTGTGTGTGTGTGTGTGTGTGTGTGTGTGTAGTGTGTGTGTGTTGTTGGTGTGTTGTTGTGTGTTGTGTGTGTGTGTGTGTGTGTTGTTGGTGTGTTGTTGGTGTGTTGTGTGTGTGTGTGTGTGTGTGTGTAGTGTGTGTGTGTTGTTGGTGTGTTGTGTGTGTGTTGTGTGTGTGTGTGTGTGTAGTGTGTGTGTGGTGTGTAGTGTGTGTGTGTGTGTGTGTGTGTGTGTGTGTGTGTGTGTGTGTGTGTGTGTGTGTGGTGTGTGTGTTGTTGGTGTGTTGTTGGTGTGTTGTGTGTGTGTGTGTGTGTAGTGTGTGTAGTGTGTGTGTGTGTGTGTAGTGTGTGTAGTGTGTGTGTGTTGTTGGTGTGTTGTTGGTGTGTTGTGTGTGTGTGTGTGTGTGTAGTGTGTGTAGTGTGTGTGTGTGTGTGTGTGTAGTGTGTGTGTGTGGTGTGTGTGTGTGTGTGTGTGTGTGTGTGTGTGGTGTGTGTGTGTGTTTGTTGGTGTGTTGTTGGTGTGTTGTGTGTGTGTGTGTAGTGTGTAGTGTGTGTGTGTGTGTGTAGTGTGTGTAGTGTGTGTGTGTTGTTGGTGTGTTGTTGGTGTGTTGTGTGTGTGTGTGTGTGTAGTGTGTGTAGTGTGTGTGTTGTTGGTGTGTTGTGTGTGTTGTGTGTGTGTGTGTGTGTGTGTGTGTGTGTGTTGTAGTGTGTGTGTGTTGTTGGTGTGTTGTTGGTGTGTTGTGTGTGTAGTGTGTGTGTGTTGTTGGTGTGTTGTTGGTGTGTTGTGTGTGTGTGTGTGTAGTGTGTGTAGTGTGTGTGTGTGTGTGTGTGTGTGTAGTGTGTGTGTGTGTTGTGTGTTGTTGGTGTGTTGTGTGTGTGTGTGTGTGTAGTGTGTGTGTGTGTGTGTGTGTGTGTAGTGTGTGTAGTGTGTGTGTGTTGTTGGTGTGTTGTTGGTGTGTTGTGTGTGTGTGTGTGTGTGTAGTGTGTGTAGTGTGTGTGTGTGTTGTGTGTGTGTGTGTGTGTGTGTGTGTGTGTGTGTGTGTGTGTGTGTGTGTGTGTGTGTGTGTAGTGTGTGTAGTGTGTGTGTTGTTGGTGTGTAATTTACAGACACTTCATACGTGGGTGTTTCAGATGTTATGGGCTGATGTAATGCTGAGCTGGGGGCACGTTTGCAGTGATCCTTGATTGGCTGGTATGCAGGAAGTTAAATCACGGCTGCGTAATCACACCCACCTGTCTTCTGAGCAGCGTTGCCGTAGAAACACGCTGCCACGATGAGGCAGAGGAGAAGACTCCGCCTCCCTTCCATGCTGGAACAGCTCTCGGGTTTCTCTCTCTCTCACTGCAACACAAAGACAAAAGAGGAGGGTCGTAAACGCAGAGAACAAATCTGTTCCCCATCTGGAGGCGCAGCGGGGAGCGAGCGTTTGTTCCAGAAAATCACGATACTATCGCCTGCACGCATTTACAGAGACAGGACACGCCCCCCCCCCCCCCCCGACTCTGCATAGGAAAACTTTAAAACGCTTTGTTTTTGGCCTGAAGACTTAAAATCACCTCCAAGCTGTGATCAGAAAGCTTCATTAAAAGAGGAATTTACTCAAATCTTACTCAAAGCGCTAGCTTAACATTAGCATGCCTGGTTAATGTTAGCATCTGGTGGATCAAGAGGAGATCTTTAATCAACAAGTTATCTGGGGTGGGGCGCTGGTTCAGCTCGCTGGGTAGAGCAGAAACTCCTCTAAACGCTGCTCACTGATTAGACCCCAGAGCGCTTGGTGCATTCTGTAATCGGCCATGACACAGTCTGTAATATTATCTTTCTAATGGCGTCCACCAGGAATTGTTTTTGCCTCTGACAGGCTCAGATTGTTATTCTAAGTGTCTTACCACAGAGAGGACACGCACATTGATTGACCGTCCCTGATGCCAGAAACGTCACACAGGTGTTGATGGTCTGAAGATACCTCAACCGGTCAGTATGATTGAACAAATGTTTGACTTAAGTCCAGCAACATTTAATCACATACCCATAAATCAGTGGTTCCCAACCTTTTTGGGCTCCTGATCTCACCTTGACTTCACAAAACTCTGGTGACTCCAGACATCCGAAACACAAACAGCTTCTTGCTCAAATACATTTTTCTTCTGCAGGTAACATTCAATTAGAGCACATGTAGGTGTGTTCTTGTTTATTACTGTGGACAGAGGAAGAACGGTTGGGAAGACGTTTTCAGCACAATGGATGACAGACAGACGGAGACCCTGCAGCGGTCTTGTTTTGGCTTTGGCCCACCCATTTGAATTGCATGTGATCTGGCATCGCATGCAAGGTTAGGGAAGCCAACACCTCCTGTGTTCTGTGAGGTAGAAGGGCTGGTTTAGTCGATGTAGGGGTGTCCAGGGGGTTTGAAGGGCGTGATGTAACAGCTGTTTGTGGTTAACTCTTTGATCAGGAGCCTACACTTAGAATAACAATCTGAGTGTGTCAGGGTCAACAAAAAATGGGTACAAAATACCATTAAAAACACCTCATTGTTCCTTTGGACCGCTCTGCTCCACGCTGCATCACTGATGACTTTAAAAACTTTGAACACTTCTGCTGTCCTAATTATTGACCTTCATTGGGATGTTTGGGGACGCTGAGCATTGCCTCCAACAGTGAACCAATCAATTTCACTGTTTTTTTTTTAGAATTGACAGGAAACATGTGCTGATACAGCCTCCACCACAAGGAGCGCCTGAGCCAAACCAGCCACCTCAGGTTACATCATCTAATGTCATTAGACGCTTTTCATACATTATGACATTTGACAGTTGTGATCTGGCAGCCTTGTAACATTTGAGGGAGGAAGGGTGTGCAATGTGGGCGCCATGCGGCAATAAGCGTATCCCCTCTGAGTGTTGTAAGGTCATAAGTGCAGCACAGGGATTATTACACTGAATAAATCATCCAGTGAGAAGTGAAGGTTCACCAATCTGCATCAGAGCACAGAGAATAAATCCAGGAGAGAGGACGGGAGGGATTAAAAACCAGAGGCAGACGGGCAGTGACCAGGAGCCAATGATGAACAAGAAGAAGTGAACTCTGAGCCAGTAACTAGTGTTAGTGCTCCCACAGTCTACTAAAAAGGACAAAATCTCTGTCAGTATATTTCACACTTCTCAGACTCTGCTTCTCTGTAGGTTCATGCAGAGAGAGAGAGAGGAGTAAACTAAATATTTGTGAACTTACGACAAACAGTTTTTTCTCCTCTAATGTACGAATGAATTTGAACCACTTCTGCCACAAAAGACCCTCAGGACCTAAAGTGCCGATCTGCACATCTGGCTCCGCTTTCAGAGTAATAGTTCTGTTTCCTGCCATCTGAGGGCACAGGCGATGTCCGGCCACATCAAAACCCATTTTTAAGTATCCTGAATTCTCCGGACGACTCTGTATCTCTGTGATGTTCAGAGATACAGGCGGAGATGAGAACAGCTGGTTTTACCACCTCGTGACACTCTGCGCTCCATGTTTGCCTCCTCTGACTCTGTTCTTCTTTCACTTCTGCACAGATCAGAAGCCATAGAGCTACTCTCCAAGACGTGACATTTTAAAATATCTGTGACGTGCTCTTGATCTCATCTGTGTTCAACCAGAGGCAGGCAAACAGAAGATCAAAACTGTTTTACCATCTGAATACATTTTAAAACCTCTTCCCTCAGGCTTCTGTCTGGAGATCGAGTGTTAACCTGCTGCTTTCATTAGATCAGAAACTTTTTTTTCTTTGTTAATTTAACTGATTGAGGAAGAAGTCTGAGCTGAAATGAGCCACAGCAGCCGAAACGCTCCGCTGTTACAGAAACAAACATTCACCGCCACTCGTCCTTATTTCCATCTTTGGAGAGGCTGCTTGTTCACGCACATGTTGGCTTACCGACCCTCCACAGCAGCGGCGATTCTAGAGTCTGTTGGGGCCCTCAACTAACGACCTAACGAGCATGTCTTTGGACTGTGGGAGGAAGACGGAGAACCAAGAGAGAACCCACACATGAACGAGGAGAACATGCAGACTCCTCACAGAGAAACTCCTGAAGGACGGGGATTCAAACCAGGAACCTCCTCACAGAGAGACTCATGAAGGACGGGGATTCAAACCAGGAACCTCCTCACAGAGAGACTCATGAAGGATGGGGATTCAAACCAGGAACCTCCACACAGAGAGACTCCTGACGGGGATTCAAACCAGGAACGGGGATTCAAACCAGGAACCTCCTAGCTGTGAGGCGACAACGCTAACCACCGCACCAACATGCAGCCCTCTAACACAATATGTGGAATTTAGTTTGTTCTAAATTGTCGAGCTCTTAATACTCAGATACAGATGTTTGCAGCTGTAAAAAGTGGTCTGGGGGTTTTAGTGACTCTTTTAGCTTTGCAGGATACACGTGGCGTTTCCATCGTGTGCATGCGAATGTGAGTTTTTAAGCTGGAACACGTCCGACACTGCTGACAGATTTAGAAAAAACTCTTGGATTCTTTTTGTCGCCTCAAAATTAGTCAAAAATAAGTCAAAACAAAAATAAATCAAAACTCAGCCCTTAATACTCTCCAATCTTTACCTCAGGTTTATTCTTTTATGAGCTTTCCAGGTCTCTCGTTCAAGTGACGAACAAACTGTTCTGTTTGTTTTGGAAAAGAAGTCTGCTCTTAAATTTAGGTTTCTTAAATTTATCGTTTGCCTCCTTCTCCTCCTCCTCCTCCTGCTCCTCCTGCTCCTCCTGCTCCTCCTGCTCCTCCTGATCCGCTCCGCATTACCACAAACTATTGACGTCTGTATTCATATAATTTACAATCATTGACTGCAGCGTTTTCCTACAGGATGGTTTCATGTAGGGCCTGACCGATATGGGATTTTTGGGGCCAATACCGATATCAATATTAGGGAGAGAAAAAAATCAGCCGCTTTCTTTCTTTGATCTGTCTTCCATCGGTAGAGATAGATATAAACATCGCACAAAAAGAAAGTGTTTGGTAGATTGTTTTGTTTCTTCAGACTTCAATCATCCAATCCACTAAACGGCGCCAAACAAGAGTCAACAGCAGAATGAGCTGTTTGGCATTGGCAGAGAAGATTCGGCAAGTTTTTCATGGACACAACCCACATACTCAGCTCTGCTGCTCATCCCACAAATGCATGCTCTTTACAAATGTGGCACCTTCACCCAAAGGAAATAAACAGGCTTTCTAACTGTATGTGATTTAATGCCAAGAAACAATGTAACAAGAAGAAAGAAAAAGAAAGAAATAATTTACCAAACACAAATTTCCTTACTTTTTGTGCGATGTTTATATACTGTAGATATACACATTTACTGTGATGATCCCTCAGACGCAGTTATCAAACACTTGTGGAAAAGATATATAAAGAAGACAAGATGGTCAGTAAGAGGAACTGAGCATGTACTGGAGAGTGATGATACTTGTTGTAATCCATATAGCGCTTTTTGACTGGTTAGTAATCTAGCAGTATCGGCAGATCTCTGAGATAAAATAAGGTGATTCTGATAGTCACTGGATATGCAAATATCGGCCGATATTATCGGCTGGTCGATTAATCGGTCGGGCTTTTGTTTAATGGAATAAAAAGAGATTTCAAAGGAAGCGTTTCCAGTTACTCATTGTGTGCCATCTGGTTTCATACCAATTACCAACCGTTTAGAGACGCTCTGCAGACACTGATTGTTTTACAAGATGTCTGAGATGAATGGATTTCTCTCCTCAGGGCCTCTGAGAGCGGTGCAGAGAAAGTGATGTTAAGCAGCGCTCACAGACTGTAAGTATCTGCCTTCTTTCATGTGAGGGTGTTAAGTCAGAGCGTGCCGCTATCTTTATGTGCATGTATCAACATGTGTGTACGCCCCCCCTCCCTACCCCCACAAACACGGTTCAGCCTTTGTTTAATCACCGGCCAAATGGTGGTGGCCCTGAGAAGAGGAAATGGGGCTGAGCGTAATGTGAAGCAGGTGAAGCTAATCACAGCAGAGCTCTCCAGTGACAGACTGATTGAGAGGAGTGCTCTGCATCGTTTACCCCTCCACCACTATTTACACGGACCTCCACCTCGGTTTATTTAGTCAGAGAACTCTTTCCGGTTCAGCTGTACGGACGGAGGGTTGATGTTAAAGAATGAGGGGCCTCGTTGTTTAGAGAGGCGGTCCAAACTGAAGTCAGACCGTCAGAACGGAGCGAAGAGGGTCTCAGAATCTGAAGGATCTGTGGAGGTCAAATGAAGGTCAGTATCAGCTCTCTGAAGACCACCATCAGACCGCTTTGAGGAGGTGAGAAGCTGCTATCAG